ATGGCAAACCTATGGCACCCATGCCACAGGTGGAATGCGGAGCCATTTGTCAGGGCGTGCGAGGCTTGTCCTGTCAGTTGACTTTGGCCTTCCTTTGAGGCCATTTTTCTCCCTCCAGAGGCTTCCCTGAAACCTCCAGAACGCGAAAAATCAGCCCTACGGGCAAACTGGAAATTCCTATAAAGCCTCTGAAGCCTGGGAAGGGTGAAAAAAGCACACTAAAAATGGGGGGGGGGAGTGCTGGTCGTGAGTGCATACGCGCTGTGGTCATGCGCATAGCATTATGGTTGTGGCACGCCAGCGCACGACCCCCCCTGCACTCCCCCCACTTTGGCACACGAGCCAAAAAAAGGTTTGCCATCACTGGTATATAGTATATCCATAGTTAACTTATGGTATATCTAGGATAGTTAAGGGTTTCTATTCAAGGAGTACATATTATATCTGCACACTTTTAACTCTTCCCACCCCAACAGTTCTGTAAGAAATGAATAAAAAGAATACTTTATACAGTATTTGAGATGGACAACTAAATTATTCCTTTGCAAAATTATTCTCATTTGAGAGTTTTCTCTTTTGTTTGTTGATGCTGTACAGATCTGCTCAATTTTCCAGCAGCAATAGATTTAGACAAAATAGTGAGCCAATTCTTGAGAACTGCAAAACTGAGGGGATGGTTGTGGATCAGTGGTGGGTTCCTACCGGTTTGAACTGGTTCGACCGAAGCAGTAGTGGTTTGGCGGCCTGGGTCGCTGGAACGGGCAGCAACCCAGACCTGCCACCACCACCACGAACCGGTTCTCCGGGTGGCACCATAGATGCCGCCATCTTGTTTCTTGCTTCTGCGCATGCACAGAACATTTTTTATTGCACTGCGCATGCACACACCAAGTGTGCGTGTACATGCGAAGCTCCCACGAGCGAACCGGCAGCAGTGACTGCTAGAAACCCCCCCCCCCCCCTGTTGTAGCTGACATTTCCAAGAAGAGTCCAAGTTAGCCTCACCTGCTGGCTTCCTTGATCAGTGCAATGGCTATGAGTATTCTCTTGCGCAAGAAGATAAGCAGTAGAATAATGACAACTTCCAAAATACACAGGATGATCACTGGATCAAAAAAAAAGGGGGGGGGAAATGATATGATTTCTGCTTTATACAGCTTTTACTGAGCAAAATAAAAACACAAACTAGAAAAATTCTTAGAACTATTAGGAATATACTTTCATCTGTTTGGAGGTTTGAAGAGATCTTCTTCTCCCATTTTTAAATAGTTTCTAGGACTGCTCAATAAAAAGGCCACGTCACTAGATAGTATACTTGAACAGGAACTCACTGAAAGCTAACCAGGTTTGTTTCAGGTGGAGATAGACACGAAAATCTGTCTGGAATCCAAGTTCCATCAAGGAGACATCAGAACCAGACTGTCCCTTCAGTTGAGCATATTCCATATAACAATGAAATATTCCTGGAAGAGAAAAACAGGAGTTGGAGAAGGCAGAGAAAATGATTGCCAAAGGCCTTAGTTTAACATCCTCACTACTGTATACCCAGAGTACTGTAGCCTAAATGTGGAGTGGTGATTAAAAGATACAGAAAACAAATTCATATGGACATAGCATATAAAGGCTTAGCAGAATCTTCCCAAATCTGATATTTCTAAATACGTTGTGTTATACCTCTCAGAAGTCTCTGTTAGTATAGCTCAGTGGTTCCCAAACTTGGCAACTTTAAGACTTGTGGACTTCAACTCCCAGAATTCTCCAGCCAGCAGAAGAAAAGATGAGAAATATAAGCAGAGCTGGCTGGAGAATTCTGGGAGTTGAAGTCCACAAGTCTTAAAGTTGCCAAGTTTGGGAACCACTGGTATAGCTGAAGACCTAACTGTCTCCCATGGGTACCAGTACAGTCTTCTAGATACTGTTAACTCCAGCCCCCCGCAGCTCATGAAGGTTAGCTCACAATTGTGAAGATTTGGAATATTTTAGAAGTCTATATTTAGAAGTCTATATCCTCTCCACCTCTAAATTAAATCTCCCGGATGAGAATGAGAATTTCTAGGAGACTTTTGCCATCACCCATCAGATTCAAAAATTGATTTGACTCACCATATCCAAGCACCAGGATCACCAGTACAATCATCACCCAAATCATGATCCCTGCCAGGAACCGGAGCAGAACAATAAATACAAGGCTGATTACCATGGAAATCACGAGGCCTCTGCATATGGAAGACAGGAATTCTTGAAATGGTTCTTGCATTGAAA